TTTCTCTATATGTCTATCTATCCTCTCCAATCCTATCTACCTACCTACCTATCCATCCATCCATCCATCCATCCATTCATCTATCTATATATCTATCTATCTATCTATCTATCTATCTATCTATATCTAGCTAGTTATCTATTGATCTATCGATCTATCTATCTATCTATATTTCTATCTATCTAGTTATTTATCTATCGATCTATCTATCTATCGATCTATCTATCTATCTATCTATATTTCTATCGTTCTATCTTTCTATTTGCCTATCTACCTATCTGCCTATCTGCCTATCTATCTATCTTTCTATCTATCTATCTATCTATCTATTTGTAAACGAAAACCATTGAAACAAATAATAGAAAACATGGAAATTGATGAAAGCTATTGAAAACTGAAGGATTTCAGTAAAACTAAGCAAAGCTGGTGGGAAACTGAAGGATTTCAGTAAAACTAAGCAAAGCTGGTGGAAAATCAGCAAAGATCAAGGAGAATGCATTCCAAAGTACTGCTTTTGCCACGAACTCTGCACGTGGAAGTAAAAACCACTCCAATCCCTTGCACCTGCCACAAAACCAAAAGATCAAAAAAAAGACATCCGAAGCCAAATCCGAACCCATTATATATAAATAAATGTAAACAAACTCAAAAACGGACACGCTGTCGATATTTATTATGTCAAGTTTTTCCACAGATGGCGAGAGCTATTGGGGTGCTTACTTCCAGTATAGAAAGCGGTCTTGTGCGCGCTTTCAGCCTGGATTCTGGATGCAAGATGGATAGCAGCGCGTGCTTTGGAGCTTGAGCGCGGTGCCCACAGGGTGCTGCTGCTATCAATGGCAGTTTGCGTTTGTGAGTAAATGGCAACCAGCCACCCCGTCTATATTTTTCTTGGTTCCGTGTCTCTTTAGAAAACCATTTCCCCCTCCTGCACACAAGCACCTCAAAACCTGAAGCCCGCCTGCGTGGAGGGCGCGGCGAGCGCCGCACGCGTGAGTTGAATGAAATTTGCACCACCGTAGACCCCAAACAGCTGACCCCCGTCAATCAGCATATCATGCAGCATATCGAACAATTACAATTGGAAGGTGTTGCTTTTGCCAGAAGGTGGATATAGACCGGGAGAGTGACCGGGAGTTTGCCAGAGGGTTTGCCAGAAGGCGGACACACTGGCACAAATTGGGTGGAACACGTAAAGGCTTGCTACCAAGGAGTTGCCAGAAGGCCAATAGGAAACATGCTAGACTGGGAGACAAACATATATATATACATATAAGGAACTCTACTTACGAGTTGCCAGAAGGCAGACACACTACCCCAGCAGACTGGGAGACCAATGTAAAAAACACATGTAGAAGATTGCCACTAAGGAGGCCAGAAGGCAGGCGGACATATGCAAAGATTTGCTGCTAACAAGTTATGAACGGGAAGAAAAATTGCCATGGAGGAGTTGCCACAAGGTGGACACACTATCGGCTAAGGGTGTCAGACACATGGAAACGTTTCAGTAGCCCAGACTGAGACACAAATGCAAAGAATTGCAACTCAATTGCCAGAAGGTGGACACAATAGCCCAGACTGAGAAAAGAAGAGCTACTCCAGGAGTTGCCATGAGGCAACCACAAGAGTTGCTTGCTTTTGGCAAGTTTCAACCTGTTCACTGAAAATTGTTAAGGTAATTGTTACCCAGTTTTGGATTTGAAGTGGTAAATGATAGCCGTCTCAAATGGAGGACGCCCCGGATTTGCCCAGGATTGGCACCCTTTGTGTCAAATTTTGATTCGGGACGTCTAAAATTACAACCGTGGCCAGCCTGAAAACCTATATATTGTATATTACAAATTCTGTTTATATTGTTTAAGAAAGAGAAAATTGACATTGAACCCTGAAACCCTGATTAATTTGAAGCTGTTAAAGATCATTGGTTTCAGATTCAAGCATTTTCATATGATTATAAATGCCTAGATCCGGAATGACATATTTTGGACCACCAATCCCCAAAAACGGTCCAACTTCCTGTCAAAACAGGTCCCGTTTGGGCTAGCTCTCGGTGTAGAGATGCGACTTCACAAAGGCTTCACTCCGTGTTTTTCTCACATGGCCTCACACCAGGTCCGGACCCACGTCCCGTCTCGCCGAACCGAAAAACCGAGGTGGAACGAGACTTGGTCACAGGCTTCGACCGCCTCCGCCAGCCCTCGAGGTGTGGTGGGAGCGACTGGTTTTTGTGTCGGGTCGCAGTTGAAGCGCGCGACACGCGTGAGGCCATCGTTTTTTTTGGTTGGTTGATTGTCGGTTTCCTTTCTTGGGGGCAAAGGCGCAAAACATCATGATGCCAGCAGTGGAAAAATTGAATATAGGTGAAGCGCACTTGTTTAGCAAAACATCATATGGCTGACTGGTTGAACGAAAGTAGGGAATGAGGGTGGCTGGATCGTAAAGGATTGGAGATGTTATCCAACCTTGGGGGGGGATGAGCTGAACCAGCCGTCTACATGAGCCAGCATCCCAATAAGAAAAGTGCATCCCAGTATTGTCATTTAATGGTGGATGGAAGTTCCGAGGGGTGCAACAATCTTGAGAGGGATTTGTATTCAGAATGTTGCAGGCGGAACCGTGAGATGAACATGAATGGCGCCCTGAGCAGGAAGTTCACATCAAATGTTGCTTCATGGAAATTGCAGGAGTCATCTCAAAAACATGGTGGAACAACTCTGACCATTCCACTTCTTCTGACCCAGCCTTTCGGACCTTTTCAACCAAAGAACGCCCGCCACGGCCAGCCGCACCTGGCCACGGCCAGCCGTTCGGTCCGTTCGGTCAGTCGCCACCCTCCGCCGAGGTGCGGAGGAGAAGATGTTCTTCCCAAAGGCGCGGGTCGCGCAGCCGCCCGTGGAGCCGATTGAGAAGTCGACTGAAGGAGCTGAGATCCACTGCCTCATAGTCACTAGTCATAGTCACATGGATCCTTTGCCCTTTGAGGCACGGCAATTGGAGACATCAAACATGTAGCTGGTCCAGCCGTACCGGGCCGTACCTTTTGAGAAGATGGCAGCGCATCTCATCCGTGGCATGTTTGTTCGTGGAGAGAAAAAACCCTAGGGCTCCTGGCCCACCTCCTGAGAAGATGGTTGGGGTGGGTGCCAGGGGGGTCTAACCACCGAACCTGAGGAGATGGGACAGGAGCCCTAGCAAAAGACCACAGGTGCAGTGACGATTCGGAGTTCGTCATCCGAACCTTGAGGGCCATGGACGACACCACGGCAGACGATGTACTGACGAGTGTACACAACATGGCCGAACGATGACCTGTGAAGCGAAGACATCGCGTTTTGACCGAACTTGAAGAGGCTTCCGGTGAACTCAGGCTAGACTGCACACTCTTTGTGACTTAAACTCTGCATATGGAGTTGTAAAGCCATCTTTTGGTAGTGGGGCTATGAATCAAGTGCACTCCCTGCAATCATTTGCAATCCATCATGTAAGTTCAATTTGTGACCTACGCCAGGGGCTGGGGTGAAGATGTAGGTCAGACACGCCACGAGGGCGTCGTCATGGGCTGGTTTGAGTGTTTGGGCATATGTTTGGTATGTAGGAAATTCATGGTCAAGTTGACCATGCCATCCGCATAACCACGATGATTTCAGGGACTCTACATGGTGGGTGCGTGGATGGGTGAGGTTGCCACCGTTCTTGGATCTCAAATTGAGGCTTCATGTTGGCCCTTGAGGGTTTTTCTTTAGCTTTGCAGGGCGATGTTGGTGTCACGAAGATGCTAGAAGCCTTCAAATGTTGTGAAATCATCCTTCATCCATCGTCCATCATTTTTTTTCATCAACGATGGAATTAACAAACCCTCCATCATCCATCCTTTTCTTTAAGAAACCAGAGGAAAACTCGGCAGCGACGAGGCCAAAGACGACGTCTCAGGAGGCTTCGGCAGAGCTCTCAGGGTGTGAAACAAGGAGAGGGCGGGTGAAGATGAGTGAAGGTCCAGCATCTCAAGATATTCAACCACTTCAGGATGAAACAGAATGAGTTGATCATCACCTCACATCCCTTGTCTCGTGCCGCCCTAGTATGCCCTAGAGCTGCTCTAGTATGTATGCCCTAGTGCCGATCCGAGGGACCGACACCTCCAGGGGTCGTCCTTAGCTTCGATCATTTGGACCGGCATGGGATCATCTATAGGTCCCACTCCTCATGTTGATGCTCAATGGCGTCAAAACCTGGAGCCCCAACACCAGGTATACCTTGTATACCTTCAGGTATGTCAACCCATAGGTATCCTTGTGTTGACCTATCTCCAAATCACTAAGGGTTAGGTTGACATCGTTTCATATCCCATTCGCTAGCTCATTTGCTTCTTTTGCGGGCAAAGGTCAACCTACAAGTGGCGGGTACCGTGACCCGCCACTTGTGTGGGATTGCTATTTTGTCTTTTCTGATCTGGGCAGGTTAATGCGTTGGGCTCCATTGGGGTGGTTTGAGGGGTCAATGTATACGCAAAGGTCGAATTGGAGAGCGTAGACCGGAATGGACGAAGCACAAAACGCCCTGGGCAAGAGAAGGAACCTTGGAACCTGAGTGATAAAACTGGTTGATGGAGGAAGCATCCATCTTCCAGGTCCAGGTCCATCTTCCAGGTCCATAGGTCCATCTTCCAGATCCATAGGTCCATCTTCCAGATCCATAGGTCCATCTTCCAGATCCATAGGTCCATCTTCCAGATCCATAGGTCTGTGGGTCTCTTTCTTTTGCGATGTTTTCTTCGTAAGGCGTTCAACTGGCTGTGTTTTCCGACGCCTCGTGACGCGCCGGTCCCAACCCTCCTCCGATGCCACCTGAGGCACGGATCGTGCGAAGCCTAAGCCGAAGGCCAAGCGCTTCTCTCCAGGACAACCTGCATACGTGCCTTGGGCTCGCAGCCGGAGGGGCCTGGAGGGGCCTGGAGAGGGCGCAGTGACGCGACACCATGCTGCACCCGTGGACGCAACTGAGCTGCGGACCCGGTCCGGTGGATTTCCAGAAGGTTCGACGGCTGGTTTATGGCTGGAGGAGAGAATTCGTCCGAGTTGTTGCAATTCATGGATTTTTGTTCGGGTGGGGTAGTAGGAGCAACCTGGTTCAGTGTTCGACATGTTTTTGAGATTGCTGAACTTTGGAGTCTTCGGTTTGGGACATGCGCCGAGGACCCGGACCTGTGGACCTGCCCTGGGGGACTCACATCTCTTGACCCGTTGGTCGTCCTTGTCGGATGGTCGCATGGTTTCTTTGCTGGTTTACATGTCCCAGACCTATTTACCTTCTTTGGAGTGGTTGAAATGGGGTCAATGATGGTTAGGCTGTAGGCAACAAAAACACCAGACTAAGGAGTGTTTGGGGATTAGCTTGGTAGAGGGTATCCCCATGCTTCGTCGCCGCAAAAACAGTGCTGGCGGCGGCTCTTGAAATGATCTCGGCGCGGTGTGTGCGCGTCCTCCAGCTCTTTTTTTCAGGTCGGAACCTGCGGAAACCCATGGTGCTTGCCTCTCATCAGAAACATCTAGACATGGATTTGATTCGCAGCTCAGACAGGGATTTGGGCTCCTTTGTAATTAAGTTGTCTCATTCGCGCAAACTAGGGGAGCCCGGTCAAAGCATCTGAGGTGCTGCCGCAGCACTCCCAGATGCATTCTGGCATCAATCCCCTTCATACCCAGGCTGGGAAGTGATGAGAGGGAAGTGGTGGCTGTTGAGAAGGGGAGGGACTGGAAGCGATTGAAGAGTGGCTGCCCTGGTGGGAGCTCTTTTTCAAAAGAGGACGTGCGGTTGGATGGAAGAAAGGTATCCAAAGTCACTGGGATCAAAGGATAGTTGATAACACTGAAACTGTTTGGGTCCTTGGTTCGTCAAACACTGGAAGAACATGAAGAAACACATACCCTGGGAGTCAAAGACTATCAAAAGAATGGAGTCTTTGGACTTCTGGGGTATATACAGTATATATATATATAGCGGAAAACGATCCCCTCCTGGGGAACCAACGGGCGCCCTTTTCCGAGCACGAAAGGAGTCCCTGCGGTGTCACGTGTGGCTTCACAACTGACTACAATCTTTCTTTTGAAGATTCAGCTAAGGCGTATATCCTCCGAGGATTCATAGTCTTCCATCAACAGCTAAATCTTCTCCGCAGCCATCTCGGCTCATTTGCTTGTCTCTCATTCTTTGAAGCGGCGAGGTGCGCCGCAGCCAGGGTAACACATTCCGCTGCTCTCCTTCTCTTCTGAGGTCAGCACGAGGTACTGCACCAAATCGCGTACCATGGGACTCAAATTGTCCCGGTGCTGCTGGCTGATCATCCACTTGCAGTATGACTGCTTCTCGGGCTCTGACGATTCGCTCAGCTCAGCATAGGACAATCCAGCCTTGGAATACTTGCCCACTTCAATCAACGTGCGGCCCCAAGTCATTGCATCTGGAACACCAGGAGGCAGCTCGACCGATGACTTCGAGGGCTTGCCAATCACCTTCTTCTTGTCGGGCTTCGCTGTTGGCATGCTCTTGGAATCGGGGATCTCTTCACCAGTAAGGCGGCGCTTGGATCCATCGGTCATGGCTCCGGGCACGGACTTGAACCCGGGCTCTGGCGAGACCATCTCGAACTCGAGCTGCTCATCGCGTTCGAGTTCATGGAGCAGCTGGCCAACCAGGCCTTCTTTCTTGACTTGTGCAAGGAGGCTCTGAAGAGCGGGAGACAAACCTGAGCAACTACCGGACATGGATCCGGGAGGAAACTGCACAACACCTGAGGTGTTTTTGCTTCGAAAACTGCAAAAACGGCTCACACGGACATTCGCATGAACATGCATGACACTTCAAGCTCTTATTCCTTATACAAAAGCATGTGCACGAACACAGGCAATATTCAAAAGCCTTTCACAGAAGAAATACCCCTTCTTCTGTCTGTGAATCTTCTACCCCAAAGACACTAAAAACAGTGCACTGCCCTGAGATTCACATCGCACTATTTACCTATTCCCCTTTCCTTTCAGACTCTTCAAACGGCGTCGATGGAGTTGGAGGATCAGGCATGACTTTGGCTTGTTTACGCAGTTCTTTTTCCAGGGCCTTGTATTCAAGAACAGTCTCCTCGGGAGATATCTGGTATGAGGATCTACGAATACAAGCTCTCAACAAGTCCACCGGGTCTCCTTCGTTTTTGGTCAGACCGTCGGCTAACATTCGATTGGTGGGGACCCATCGGAGAAAAGCTCCCATGCCTTTACAACTCTCCTTAATGATGATAATATCAATGCTCGTCCGGCGATCGCTTACCGCACTCGGGGCGGATGGTGAGTGAACATGATCATACAAGCTCTTGCAATCGGTGATGATGATCGGCTGGCGTCTTTTCAACACTTCACGGCATGTTCGAATCTGCAGCGGGCCATCAAAAATCTCAGACAACATGAGTAAGATCCACTCGACAGTTCCGGTGGCTGTCGACAGGGCCTGACTCTCGGCAGACAACGTGCTGCTGACAGCACGGGGCAACTTGTAGCTTCTCCAGGAAGCTGGGCACCAACTCGCTTCAAGACCATCTTGTAGTGTCTTTTCAGTGAACCCTATGATGTATCCAGCTTGTGTGTGATTACCACGATTCGCAAATGCAGCGTCACTGTGACAAACCACTGTGAGGTCCTCGGGCTGTATGGACTGAAACGTGATACCCAACTTGCTGTGCTGTTTAGCACGTCGGATGGCTTGGTTTGCCGTCCGGAGATCTTCGATCCGGGGATTCGGGAACGCCTGTTGCGACAGGCTCGTCTGCACGCTCAGGTCCGGGCGAGACTGAGACGATAGCCAGTTTAAGCTGCCATTCACAGCTCTCAACATCTTTACTTGGCTAGGTGACAGGGTTTGATCAGAGGCACTCTGTTTAGGGATGTTGATAGATCGAATCTTTTCCGAAAAGGCTGACATGCACATACTGATTGACCAATCTTCACCCTGTTTATACCAAGCACCACAAAACTCCCCCTCTCGGGTTCGCCATTTGCGATATGGAAAGCGATTCCGGAGGTCTCGAATTGATTGTTCAAACACCGGTCCTGACCCCCCCTACCGCAGTATCATCGACATGCACTCCCATCACACCTACCAATTGGTTCTTGTGTCTCAACATGAACAGGCAAGGATCCAGAACACTTTGGTGCCAGCCTAGTTTCAACACATGTGAGCTAAATTCTTTGAACCATGCAGCAGGAGCGTCATTCTGTCCGTAGACATTTCCAACTACTTCTATCACAGCTTCCGCCGGCAGTCCCGGTATACCACCGGGTGGCTGGGAGGCGAAGAGAGGACGAAAGGCATCGTCCAGCGGTCCAGCCTCCAAAAAGGCTCCTTTTATATCTCCGAGCTGCAATTGCCATTGCTTGGTTGCCAGTGTCTGCATGAGACATTGACGGCCTATTTGACTCAGGGTCGGAGACTTTAACATGCCCTTCTCTGCCTTGGCGGTGAGGTCTGGATCCAAGTGACCCTGAAGACACCAACGACCTTTGACCATGAATGTAGTGGAATCATTGGGGTCTACCTCTTGACCTTCTTCCAGGGGCTTACGCGTCAACACAAATCGACTGCCAATGAACCTATCTGGATGTTCAACACGAATTCGTTCGGCGGCCTTACCATAGTGGATCTTCACAGCATGAGGCTTGGACTGGATGGTATCCCATTCGGATTTCTTACCGTCCTGGACCTTCTTTTGGATATCGGGCGGATTATTGCTATGGGGAAGCTCTTTAGCTACTTTCTGATGAAGATATTGTTGCATCAAACATTCCCATGAATCCAGCTTGACCACTTCCCGAAGTTCAGACATCTCTTGTACACTCAAAGCTTCATCTAGCCTCGGACGATGTGCTCTTGGTTCTTCAGGCTCACTCGAGTCATTTGTCGGAGAGAGAGGGCGCTTGGCCGAGTGCATGACAGCGTCATCTACCAATTGTGGTATGACTTCTTTGATCAGCTCTACGAAATCATCTTGCTTCAACGGCGCTGGTCGCCACAAGGCCATAGGTCCGTCTTTCCTCTCAATCCGCCTACGGACTGGACCGTAGGATGAGCTGGAGGTTTCTGGCTCAGCCTTCGAGGATGGCTCCGAGGTCACGGCTTTCACTTCTGGTTCAGGGACTGGAGTTGATTCGTTCATATTGGCTTCAGGCTGACTGGGTTTTATCGATGCCTCTGGAGACCCTTCCAGCAGTTCATTCTTCGGCGCTGCAACAGGATCACGCCGTTCAGGCATGGACTCAGGAGGTTCGACAGGACCCTCTTGGGGTGGATAGGACTGCGGCAGCAGGTCAATATACTGTTTGCTCATGAGATTTCCTTTTTCAATCATGTCTTTGATTCCTAAGAGCTCAGTTTGTGGAGATGCAATGAGACATTTTTCCTCATTAGTGGCATGTCGAACCTGCTCTGGAGCGCAACGAAGAATCTGTCTTCGGTGTACGAGCACGAGGTTCCGTCCCACCTGACCTAACACCACAGCCACACCATACCACTGTCCACCGTTCTGAAGTTGACCGTTAATCCATTTCTGGTTCCTCCAATAAGCTACAAGATCACCTGGTCCGAAGGAGGCTGGAACTCTCGGCCTCGCTAGCAGGGCTACACGAAGAGCTCTGTCATCCTGCATTTGGACCAAGGCCATTCTGGCTGCCGTGCGCATGGCTTGAGACCGTGCAAGGCTATCTTCTGTCAGGGAAGCCGTGGCCGGCACAACCAACAACGGCTCATTCAGCAAGTCTTGCGGGATATGGGGATTTTTGCCAAACACGAACTGATGTGGAGAGAACCCGTGTACCTGAATTTGCTGATTCTTCACATGAGCATGGGTGACACATTCTAACCACTGATCTTTGGTGTTTGGAGAGAATTCATCAATCAACTTTTCCAACACGGTATTGAACCAGCCCCCATGAGATTCGCACTTCCCTAGCTGCCAATGAGCACCAGCAGCAATAGGCCTAACATGCACTCCGTCAAGTTCAGCTGGAATCACCATTGGATCGCCAAGGTTAGTCTTAGCTGGATCCAAGATGATCTCTTTTGGCGTTCCAGCCCAGGACAGCCAATGATCATACAGGAGCTTGCGAAGTACTGTTGCCGTTTCCGTTTCAAAGAAAGGAATCATGCGCTGGAAGCCGCTGGCACTGTCGACAATGTTTAAGGCTTTAACCTTTTGATTAGCTTGCCAACCCTTGAGATGTTTCACGTCCAGAGCAATCTGTCCGTTGAACTCGTGGCTTCTTTGGGTTTGAGCAGGCAACGGAACCTTCGGCTTATCACGACTCCTGCAGAGATCACACGAAAATTCTCGTGCCAGGCGGATCGCCTGATCACTAGCTTGGCCATGTCTTAGGATTCTCACTAGATCATTGTTTGGAGGATGACCCAAGTTGCGGTGCAGTTTGGTCAGGACTGGTATCAGCTCTTGATCAGACTTACCTACCACGCTACCGGCTGCGAGCACTTCTGGCCAACATGTGGGAGGCACCGTATCATCCACGACTTCCACATTACACACTTCCTGGACATTAAGGGACTTGGGGGGCCTCACGTTGCTTCCACATTGGGATGGTGTTCAACACGGCTCGAACAAAGGCTTTGGGATATGCCCCTGCGAATGTGCTCACCTGGCCTACCCCCGGACTACCCCCCCGCT